TCCTGCTGAGACACTGGCCAGAAGTTCCGATATGTTAGAACAGAGGGTCACCTGAAAATGAGCAAATCCCGTCTGTTAGAACCCAACCAAATTGTCAACAAGGGTTGGTTAACACTGGATTTTAAGTCCCTTCACAGCAGGGTCTGAGTCTTCATCCTCTTTGGCTCTTCCAGGTCAGCCATTGGTTCAATAAATAATTGCTCAAATGAATTATGTATCTAAGAATCCAAAGGTCACAATCTTACAAAGGGATGAATCTACCAAAGGAAATCAGAACCACCCACAAAAATCAGTTAGTGAAAGAGGAATAACACTATGAACTCATTCAGTGCAGAACGACGCAGTGCAAGACCAGACTGCTCCAGCCCTCGGTGATAATGTACTCTCTCACACCGCAGAACACCGATGGGGAGGGGTTGACCCTGCAAGTGAGGGCTCCTCAGAGCAACTGGTGCAGGCAGGGGTCCTCCAGTCTGTGTTGTTAACACTGGCCTCCTTTCCAGCTTTCCAATGAAATGGATCTCCACTGTGCTGAGATGCAGCAGAACTTTGAAAGCAAGAGCAGGTATGCTTCCTGGCACGAGCCCTTGTGTGCTGAAGGCCCTACGTCTCCTGCATCTTTGCAAGATTTCCATCCACAAGGACTTCGGCCAGTGTCAAGTAGAGTTGAGTGGGTGGAGGTGGCGGAGATGAGTGAGACACATGTCCTTGGAGAGCAAGATGGCTTCTTGTGAGGCCATTGGAATGAAGTACAGAGAAGGTTGTTCCTGCATTTCAATTTTATCCAGTTTTCTCATTTTGGTTATAATCTCCCTTTACATTCGTTGCTGTGAAGAGCCATTTCTTTTCTCTCAGATTTCTCAGATATACAACTCTTATTCTCAGTCCAGTCTCCTCCTCCTCCTCTTCCTCCCATCACCTCTACTCTCCCTGGCTGCTAAGTCAGGGCACAGGCAAAAGAGGAAGAAGGAATGGGATGGGAGAGCAAAAAAAATAAAAGAAAAAAAAAAAATCAGAGGAAATTTAAAAGGAGGTGTCCAAACATGTAGAAATACAGAATAAAATAGTGGTTGCCAGGAGAAAATGAAACAGTGGTTGCCAGGAGCAGGATGAGGAAATGACAGGCAGACAGAAGGTCAAAGGGTACAAAGTAGCAAACAGGTAAGATAAACAAGTCAGACTGGAGCACTAGCGTTATTAATAGTGTCTGGGAGGATTTTTGCAAGTGAGTAGATTATGGCCGTTTTTGCCGCAGGGGGAAAACAGGCAACTGCAACTCAGAGATTTTACTTTGTTCCAATATAGTAACCATCTTACTGTATACTGGGTGGTCAGAAAAGTCATGATGTCTTTTTATGTTTTTCTATGCAAAAATGCATCATGACTTTTTCCCATAACCATACGTATCTTATAAATCATGTTTATAGCTTAGAAACAGATACATATAAGTTGGTTTTTGATTTTAAAGGAGGGACGTTGTCTGTGAGGATGAGGACAATCTCAAAGTACCTTTGGAGGCTGCCTGCTATGCGGGAGAGCAGGCTCAGAAATCCTGGTGGAAGACAGCTCTTCCAGCCGAGTCACTGTCATCTCTAATGTTTGCTGGCTTTATTTTTTAGAACAGTTTTGGCTTTACAGCAGTTTTAGGTTTACTGAGGGGAAAGTACAGAGTTCTTAGACACCCCCTGCCAATCAAATTCAGTCAGATTCAACCTAACAGGAGTACATCAAGACACATAACAGTCAAACCATCAAAAATCAAAGACAAAGGAACGATTTTGAGCACAGCAAGAGAACACATAGCACCAAAGGAGTGCCAGTACATCTGTCAGTGGATTTTTTAGCAGAAACCTTGCAGTCCAGGAGAGAGTTGAATGGCCTATTCAAAGCGCTGAAGGAAGAAACAAATTAAAAAACAAACAAAGTCCAACCAAAAATACTTTATCCAGCAAAGCTGTCTTTCAGAAATGAAGGAGGAATAAAAATTTTTCCAGACAAAGGCTCAGAGAGTTGATCACTACTAGACCTACCTTACAGGATTGCTAAAGGAAATTCTTTCAAATGAAACAAAAAGCAGGATCAGCAGTTACTGTAATGGCTGTGTCGTTGGACTGTCATGTAGTCAACTGCGGTTCGAGTCCTGGACCCAGTGGCTTAAACTCAAGCCGGGTGCGTGTGTGTGCATGTTCTAGATCCCAAGAGGAGAATGGAGGAGAAGGGATTACAGCGTGGCCATCCCCCCGGGGGGGTGATTTCTTGCTTTCTCTCTCTCTGTCTTTCTGGCGAGCGCATGCACCCTATAGCGAAAACCTCTCAAAAAAAAAAAAAAAAAAAAGGAAGAAAAAGAAAATGAAACAAAAAGCTGCTAATTAATAATATGAAGCACACAAAGGCAAAAATTTCAAAGATATGCATAAAATAGTATTCAAAATACCCTGGGACATTAATAACAGTGTGTAAGACAATTTCATCCCTTGTACAAGGATTAAAAGACAAAACTAGGAGCCAGCAGTCGGCATGGTGGTTAAAGAACTGGACTCCCATGTGGCCAACCACAGTTCAAGTCCCAGATGCGGTGGCTCGCTTTCTCACTCTCCCTCTCTCTCTTGCTTTGTCTCTCTCTGGTGAGCATACATGCCCTATCACAAGCTTGATGATAATAATAATGTTGCAGAAAACCAGACACTGAGGAGTGAAAAACAACACTCAGGAGAGAAAAGAGATCTCTTTACTACACTGGCAGACATAGAGGAGTTAATACTCTGAATCTCCAGCTCCATGAAGAGTTGGACACAGTCTTTAACAGGGGAGTGGGTAAGCGGGAGTTTCAGCACACTTGTAGTGTCCGATCAGGGAAGGAGCTCAGTGTGTGCCCTAATACAGAGCTGACAGAGAAGCAGGGAATCCAACCTGCTCAAGGCCTTCGGCTGCTCAACAGTTCAGGGGAGGAACTGTTCACAGAGGAACAGAAAGCCCAGGCATCTATCAGCCCTAGGCTGCTTCAAGGTTTCTTACAAGTTTCTCCGCATCAGAACAGAAGGTTCAGGCAGTTATCAGCTTTGGTTGCTTCACATCAATCATAATAATAATAATTTTTTTAATAATAAAAATAATTTTTAAAAGATAAAACTATTATTAATGACTATAGGTAAAATAATTTGTCAAGGGACACACAATACAAAATTACATAAATTCTGACATCGAAGACTTAAAATGTAGGGAGTGGGGAGTAAAAGGATAGTGTTGTTATAGGCAATCAACGTTAGAGTTGTTATCAGCTTGAAATAGGCAGGTATGAGTAACCACAAAGCAAAACTGTTTGGTAGAAGAACTAAACAAAAATAGAAAAAATTCAAAGGACCCTACTCTTGAAAATCATCAAACCACAAAGGAAGACAGCAAAAGAGGAAGAAAGGAGCAAAGAATCTTAGAACAAAGAGAAAGCAGCTAATGAACTGGCAGTAGTAAGTCCTTGCCTATCAATAACTACCTTGAATGTAAATGGATTAAATCCCTCGATAAAAAGACACAGAGTGACTGGATAAAATAGCAACACTCAACTATATGCTGCCCACAAGACACTTGCTTCACTTTTAAAGATATACATAACCTGGAGACCAGCAGATGGCATAATGGTTACACGGCTGGACTCTCACATAGTTGACCACGTTTGGAGTCCGGGATCTGGTGGCTTAAAACTCCCAGTGGGTGCATGTGCATGCTTGCCGAAGGTCCCCCAGAGAAGAATGGAGGAGAAGGGATTGCTGTATAGCCATCCTCCCTGGGGGGTGATTTCTGCCGTCTCTGTATCTCTAGCAAGCACACATGCCCTATAGAAAAAGTCTCTCTTTTTTTAAAAAAGGCATACATAGTCTGAAAGTGAAGAGTTGGAAAAAGAAGTTCCGCACAAATGGAAATGAGAAGAAAGACCCAATTCCCACATGGTGGCTGCAGTTTTAATTCTCAGCCTGGTCAGCCTGAAATGTACCAGGCACCTGAGATCCAACAGGCTGGAGGACTGGAACAGGGGGACTGCCAACCAGACCCTGTGGAGGGTGCTCCTTTCTCTGTTATGTCCCTCTCTGTCTTGCGCACATGCATGTGCTCTGTCATGAATAAATGGAAAAGATAAAGAGTAGCCTAAGGGCATATGTAAACATTCCAGTCAATAACAACAGAATACACGTTCTTCTCAAATGTACAGGAAACGCTCTCAGAATAGATCATATATCCAGCCACAAAGCTCAGCAAATTTAAGGTTAAAGTTAGTCATGCACTGCATGACAATATTTTGTCCAACAATGGCACTCCCATAAGGTTATAACAGAGCGGAAAAATTCCTGTCACCTAGTGACAACATTCCAGTGCAGGCCATGGCTCACGTGTCTGTGGTAGCCCTGGGGCAAACAAACCTCCTGAGCTGCCAGTCACAGAAACGTTCAGCACCACAGTGACATACAGTGTATAACACGGTCATGACTAAGCAACTGTCGCCAGTTGATGTATTTACTACACTATCCTGTGTCCTTCTTTTAGAGTGTCGTCCTGCTTATAAAGGTTTACTGTAAGCAGAATGCCATGTCATGCCAGCAGTAGCCTGTTGGGTTTACTGTGTCTCTTGATTGCATCGTTTGCTCTCGTGTTTGATTTAATCTCGTGACACCGTTCATCATGGCCCCAAGCACATAAAACTCACTGCTTATTTTTCCAGTAAAAGATCACATTCAGTGATGGAAACGGAAACAAAATTAAAAGTGATTAAGGACTATACAAGTGCAAAATCCATGATGGTTATTGCTCACCAATGGGTAATGTCCCATTCTGCTGTAGGAGTTACTATCCTGAAGAACACAGTATCAGAAGCTATTAGAGCATCTGTTTCACTGAAGACAATGGCACGAACAACAATCCTAGAAGGGGGACCAGCAGTTGGTGTAATGGCTATGTCGCTGGACTCTCATGTAGTCAACCTCAGTTCGAGCCCCGGATCCGGTGGCTTAAACTCATGCCGGGCATGTGTGCATGCATGCCCAAGATCCCAAGAAGAGAATGGAGGAGAAGAGATTGTGGTGTGGCCAACCCCCCTGGGGGGTGATTTCTCACTTTCTGTCTCTCTCTGTCTTTCTGGCAAGTGCACTCGCCTATAGCAGAAACCTCTAAAAAAAAATAAATAAAATTCTAGAAGGGCCTATATCAGATATGGAGGAACGTCTAATGACCCAAAATAAAGACCAGACACAGAAGTGTATCCCTCTCAGAAGACCATGATGAGCATAGCCAAAGCAAAACGTTTGTTTGCAACGATGGAAGAAAAGGCTGGGCTTGACTAGTGTTGAATTTATTTCTAGCTCTGGGTGGTTTCATGATTCAAGGATCATTTATCCTTACATAGTGTGACAGTGAGTAGTGTACATTACAGAATTCCAAAGAGACTTAAGTATCAGACATTCAGTATCAGACGTTCTCGACACAAAAAAATGGTCGGTATTTGAGCTAACGTGATTTCGTTATTTCCCACAATGTTCATAAATCATAACTTTACTTTGTTCCCCGTAAATATATAGAATTTTAAGCTGTCAATTTACAATTAAAAAAAAAGAAGAAATCGTAGTGGAGAGACAACACTCCTAGTTGAGCCATAGCTTTTAATTTATTCATTTATTATTGATTGATTGATTAGTCTTGACTTTTTGTTTGTTTTTTAGAGCAGTTTTAGGCTTGCGTCAAACTCTAGGGGGAAGTACAGAATTCTCGTATATCTCCTGTCTGCACACACACAGCTTCCCCATAATTAGTACCCCCACCAGAGTGGTACACTTGTTAGAATCCATGAAGCTTCGTTACACATCATCACCCAATGTCCATATTTTATAGTCAAGCTCATTCTTGGCGTTGCACATTCTATGGGGTTGGGCGAATGTGTAATGACAAGTATCCACCTAATTATCGTGTCACATAGAATAATTTCATTGCCCTAAAAATCTCTGCCTTTTATCTCCCCACCCCACCCCCCCCCGCCCCTGAAAACCACTGATCATCTTACTGTCTCCTCATTTTTGCCTATTTCAGAATGCCGTCCAGTTGGAATCAGATAGTATGTCGCTTTTTCACTGAACTGTGCATTTAGGACAAACAAACCTACTGAGCTGCCAGTCATATAAACGTACAGCACCCACATTTATGTCTTTGCAGGGCTTCATAGCTCAGATAGACTTTCGCTTAACATCATCTTAACCACTGCCAGCACCTACTTCCTAAGATGGAAACTAGAGGGGCCTTAGGTTCTTTAATTCCCCTGGGTAGGTGTGGGTACAGCCCACCATTCCCCAAGTGAACACTAAGCAAAGATTGTGCTGACTCTTAGCGGGGAGTCCATGACCCTTGCAGGCTCCATTCAAAACAGTGGTTCTAGGGCCGGGTGGTGCAGTGATAATGCAACTGGACCCACATTGCAAAAGTCCATGGAAGAAATAAATAAGCTAAATGACATATGTGATTGAATGTATAAAATAAACTGAAGTAAAAAAAAAAAATTTAATTTTAAAAAAGAAAAAAATAAGGAGTCAGCAGGTGGCATGGGGGTTAAAGGCACTGGACTCCTCCTTCGTCGGCTGCAGTTCGAGTCCTGGACTTGGAGGCTTGAAAATCACACCCAAGGTCCCAAAAAGAAAATGGAGAAGGGGTTATGATGTGGCCATCCCCCCTGGGGAATGACTTCTCACTTTCCCCCTCTCTGTCTCTCTCTGGTGAGCACAGGCGCCCTATGACAAAAACCTAAAAAATAAAAGAAAAAAAATGGTTGTAGAAAACAAGGGTCTTGTCTGGATAGATGCCAAGAGAATGCCAACAAGTGAGGGTCCCACTTCCTGTGTGAGGGCAGAGGGGTAGGGTCAGGTCAGTGTAACAGCTCAGCTCTGGACTGCACGCTAATGACGTGGTCTTCTCCTGGGGTCCCACAGGGAGCTCAAAGAGGCTCACGAAGCGGAGCTCAGTAAGATGGAGAACGAATATAAAGCCGCCTTGAAAGCAGAGAAGCTGGCCGCCCAAGAGAAGCTAGGTACCTGAGAGAATGACCCTGGGTGAGGGTGAGGGGCTGCCTATGGGGGGTCCCGGCCTGAGGAGCTCTAGGGCTGTGGCTGGGCTGTGGTCAGGCTTCCCATGTTTGCCCCTAAATTCAGGGAAAAGAGTGACTGAGAATGAAACTGAAGAGAGAGAGAACCGTGTGTGCCGTATCCTGCCTTTTCCTGGATAATCTGAGCAAGTTGCTTAATCTTCCTGAGTCTCAGATCCCCACCTAAGAATTGAAGACAAACCGATCTGCCCTTACCAGTGTGATAGGAATATGAAAGCTCTTTCAAACGTGTATTTTCAACTTCAACAAACATAATACTATTGTAATTCAGCAGGTCTCCTCCCCTGTAACATGATAGTGTTTCATTACGTCCCTCAGTCACAGCCTGTCCTCAGAATGCAGAAGGGCTGTATTGGCCTATCTCATTGTTCATGCTGCCCTTGAGAAGGGCCAGGTGTATGTCCTTCAAAGTTCCGGTTTCTACCCTCATCACCACAGAGAGAAGAAATTCTATAGCCTTCTTCCTTTATTGGTGCTTTAAGTTTTTGAAAAAAAAAAAAAAGGCTTTATGTTTATACTTTGCTAATTTTACAGTTTTCTAAAAAGAACATGTACTGTTTTCATAATAAATGTAAACTAGGAACTGTTATTTTAAAAGAGAGAAGCAGAGGTATGCTGCAAGTTTTTGTTCCTCTTTTCCACCCCTGCAGATGTAGGTTCACTCTTGGAGAATAGTTCTCAGACTTGTTACGCATCAAAATCTCTGAGAAGCCTGTTTATCAGCAGATACTGGATCCCTCCCCTGAAAAACCAACTCAGTGGGTTTACAGTGGGACCAGCCTTTGTCTTTCTATTTACTTCTGAACTCATTTCTGGGGCACACAGTGGTTTCACAGCTGGGGAGGGGGGGGTGAGTTTAGGGCAGGAAGCTGTGTGGAAATGCTCACATTTGAACTTGAAAACATCCTTAACAGACGAAACACGCAACTGTTGTTTTGCTTTTGTCCAGATGAGATGGGGAAGGAATACAAGTATCTGAAGAATATGTTTCACATGTATCAGGTGAGACAGAGAGCGCTTTGGTGGATTAGGAATGAGAAGCAAGGCTTGCTCTTGGCTGCTAACATTGGGATGAATCCAGAGTTCTTGCCCCGAAAATAATATCCTGAGATTTCCAGAATTCTTGGCCCTACATGGCTCTACCTGCACCTAGAGAGAGGCATAAACTGGATGACCGTCATGCGTGACAAAGTAGTCACCCAGCCTGTAAAGGGGTCCATTGAGCAATGTTTATTATCACAAAAGTAATAGCTGCTCATTGTTTCTTATGAAAAAATATAAAAATCAACAACAAAAAGAAGGAAATGTCATCACTCAAAGACAACGACTGTTAATGTTTGTGCTGTGTTAAAACTGTAGTCGAGGGACCAGCAGATGGTGTAATGGTTACATTGCTGGACTCCCATGTAGTTGACGGCGGTTTCAGTCCTGGACCTGGAAGCTTAAAACTCATGCTGGGGACATGTGCGTGCGTGCCCAAGATCCCAAGAGGAGAATGGAGGAGAAGGGATTGTAGCATGGCCATATCCACCGGGGGGTGATTCCTCACTTTCTGTCTCTCTCTCGCTCGCTCTCTCTGTCTCTCCCAGTGAGCACATATGCCCTATAGTAAAAAATCTCTTTCTCTCTCTCTCTCTCCATATATATCTATATCTATATCTATATCTATATCTATATCTATATCTATATCTATATCTATCTATATATATATATAAACTATAGTTGAAACTATATTGTATAAAATCTAAATACTTTTTTTGTTTGTTTTCTCTTTCTATCAGGCATATCAGAAACTTTTCCCTCCTTTTTATTTTTTTATTGTGTGTGTGTGTATGTGTGCTTTGTTTTGTTTTATGTTTTTTAGTTGCCAGAGAGAAACAGAGAGGATGGAGAAAGCACCCCCAATGGGGCATGGTCACTCTTCCGTCCCTCTCCATCCTGTTAGGATCTGGAACATACATACTCATACACTTGGTATATTTTCCAAGCTGCTAGAGCTGGAATTTGAGCTGCAGTGAACTTTGTGGGATCTGGCTCCCCTAACAACAAGGCTATGGGGCCAACCCTTTCTTCCTTGTCAATGACTAAATATTATCCTAATAAAATTGCCATTGGGAATTTTATTATTCCCCTACTGGTGGCCATTTGAGTTGTTTACAATGCTTGCTATAACGCATAATATCATTGTGAACATCTTTGATTCTAAAGTGACATCCATGGTCTAACAGAAGTGGAATGCTGAACATTTTTAAGACCTCTAATAGATTCAGCCAAATTGCCATTCAAAAAGACTGTATCTGTCTGGAACTCAATAAGCAGCGCTTAGGAGGGCTCTAGCCACCTCAGAGCATAACCCATTCATTTAAGCAGCTAATTTGATGAGGGCCCAGGAAGACAGTGAGGGCATAATTAATGACTAGGGAGGTGAAGAGTAAAGTGGGGAGTGGGCAGGGGAAAGACCGAGCCCTCAAGTCCCACCTGATTTCATTGTTAAGTACAATGACCGAAGTGTCCTGGTTTGCCTGAGACATTCTGGTTTTAGCACTAATTGCACCCAGTCCAGGGTCCCAAGAAACCTGTCAGTCCCAGGTAAATAAAAACAGAGGATCAACTTCTTTAAGGTTAAACACCAACATCACCTCTGAAATTCTACTTGCTGCTCACAGTTTCACTTTTGAACTTGTATCTAAAACTCGTTTTTCAAGATATTTCTTGGTATAGTCAGGGAAAACCTCACAGAGCAGAGTCTAAGAAGTGTCAGGTTTATGGCAGGTAAGCTGCCCCCACCTCCTAGGAATCCTCCAGCTTGCTTCCATCTGGGCCTCTCCCAAGGGTTTGATTTCTTTGGCAACCGAGCTGCCCACCAGTCATAAAATGGTAAGCGAAAACCCACATGTAAAAGGCCACAAGCAATTCCAAATGAGCACCACATCTGAGCCAAGTGTGGCTCCTGCTGGGAGCCAGAAAAGCAAGGAGCTGGGTCCTCAGACCTGACTGGCAGCATCCAGGTCCTGCACCTTTCACGTTGCTGAGTTCCATGCTCAGGAAGTCCAAGTCACCACAGGACTGACTTTGGATTAGATTTATGGACCCTCAGCCACAAAGTGAAAGTAAATTTGCTGAGAAAAAATAGACACTTTAAAACATCCCATTATTTTCTAACTGTTCAAATTAACTATGAGACATTTCCCTTCTTTATTATTATTTTTTTCTTTTTTTGGAGAGGTTTTTGCTATAGGGCATGTGTGCTTGCTAGACAGACAGAGAGAGACAGAGAGACAAAGAGCGAGAAATCACCCCCAGGGGGGATGGCTACGCCACAATCCCTTCTCCTCCATTTTCCTCTCGGGATCTTGAGCACGCACACACAAGCACCCGGCGTGAGTTTAAGCCACCAGGTCCAGGACTTGAACCACAGTCGACTACATGGGAGTCCAGCGACATAGCTATCACACTAACTGCTGGTCCCCCTTCTTTATTACTTTTTTAGAGAGTTTTTTTTTGCTGTAGACACATGCACTCACCAGAGAGACAGAGAGTCACCAAGAAATCACTCCTAGGAGTGGGTCGGGGGGAGATGGCCACATCACAATCCCTTTTCCTCCATTCTCCTCTTGGGATTTTGGGCCTGCACACACATGCATCCAGCATGAGTTTTAAGCCACTGGGTCTGGGACTCAAACCACGACTGATTATGTGGGAGTCCAGCAACGGAAGCATTATGCCATTTGCTGGTCCCCACATTCCCCTTCTTTCTTCATGGGCTATTGAAGAGGAATTTATGATTCAGGGGGAGCTGATTTGAGGTTCTTCAACATGGAGAACCCCCCTTGCCTTCAGAGGAGGTTCAGCTCCAGTGTGGAAAACCATGTGCTCTTGACCGTCAGGGCTATGCAGTTCTCCCCTGTGTGAGGCTGGAGTGTACTTCCTACCAGTCACCCATGCACCTATCCGTGCAGTCCCAGGTGAGGGAGCTGCACAGGGCGTGGCCAGTGTGTCGTGCTGGCAGGACCCCTCTGGTGTGGGATTTCAGCTCCAGTGGGTCTCCTTTTTAAGGACTCTTATGGCATCTTTGTGCCTTCATAGGACAGCATTTATGATGAAATGGAAGATAAGTGGTCAAAGCGAAAGGCAGAATGGGAGAAGGATGAGAAGTTGGAGCGGGAAAAGATTCTTCTACAGCAAAGTGAGTAGAAAAGCTTCTGGACTTTTGATGGCAAGTGCATCAAATAACTGCCATTAAACTTGGTCTTGACTTGAGGAGGTGGCCTTGGATTTACTGAGGGTGACAGAATGACACACCCTGGACTTCTGAATGGAAGGTACTCAGTTTTCAAGGAAGCAAAGTAAGGGCCAGCTCTGCAGCATTGCAGTATTGCATCGCTCAGGGGCAAGCCAGATCCCCATGGTAGTCATGGTTCAAATCCCCAGCCCAGTCAGTCTGAAAAACAAACAGAACATGTGTGCAAGTGCCCAGGATCCAACAGGCTGGAGAACTCAAGGAAGGGATTGCACTTGACCAGCCCCTATAGAGAATGGTCTTCTCTGTCTCATGAGTGTGCCTGCCCTTTATCACAAGTAAAGAAAAATATACGGGACCAACAGTTAGTATAATAGCTATGTCACTGGACTCCCATGTAGTCAACTGTGGTTCAAGTTCTGAACCCGGTGGCTTAATACTCACTCCAGGTGTATGTGCATGCATGCCCAAGATCCCGAGAGGAGAATGGAGGAGAAGGGATTGCAGTGTGACCATCCCCCTGGGGGGGGGGGGTGATTTCTTGCTTTCTGTCTCTCGCTATCTTTCTGGCGAGCACATGTGCCCTATAGCAAAAACTTCTCCAAAAAATAAGTAAATAAAAAATATATATGAAAGCAAACTCATAAGGGTAGTAGTCTTGCCAATTCAGATACTCAAACTCAGGAGTCTAAACTGTATGAGGGAGGCTTTAAAAAGTTCACGGAAAACACATATTGTAAAAATACTATGCATGGGGACCAGCAGTTAGCGTAATGCTATGTCGCTGGACACCCATGTAGTCGACTACAGTTCGAGTCCTGGACCCAGTGGCTTAAACTCATGCTGGGCATGTGTGTGTGCATGCCCAAGATCCCGAGAGAAGAATGGAGAAGGGATTGCGGCATGGCCATCCCCCCTGGGGGGTGCTTTCTCACTTTCTGTCTCTCTGTCTCTCTCTGTCTTCCTGGTGAGCGCACGCGCCCTATAGCAAAAAACTCACACACACACACACACACACACACAAACTACATGGATTTCAGAAAAAAAAAATATTGCTCCAAAACAAACGCATACTTTAATTCCACTTTCCATAAACTTTGAAGTCCACTTTTACCTTCCAAAACTCGTTGGTTTCAGGTTTGCTCATTGTGTCTGAAGCAAGTGTTGGAACCTCTTTGGGACTGTAGACTTGATATCTGGATACAAATGACCCCAAAGTTCCAGGAGATTTTGAGTTGGCTTTTGTAATATTGATAGGGAGAAGGGGCGTGAGGATAATACAATGCACTTTACCAGACACCTCTAACTCTCCAAATCCCCCCAAAAGGAGCCATGTTTGATATATATTTTGAATATTTTCAACTTAACACAGAGCTTGAATCATTCAAAGTACTTTACAGATGCAGTCCTCCCTCCCACCCCCATTGAGCTTCTTCATAAACAGAAAAAAGGAGAGAAGAATTTGTGGGGCCTGCTCCCAAGCCTAGCAGACCTGCTAATGTAGGAATGGAGCCTCTACAGACTTATCTCACAACTACACCAACCCCATTCATCAACTATTTAGTTGAGTTTAATAAATTACTCATTTAATGTAGAGTAGCCCTAGAAATTTTAATTCACATTCTGGTAGGAGCTCTGGGCTTCTACAACATAGCAGGAAGACCCTAGAGTTCAGGCTGGGGAATGGGATGTGGACCTCCTCCTGTTGGAGGTTCTTCCTGGAATTCTGGGGTGACATAATCTAGGCCATCTCCCAGACTTTTGGCTACTCATCTGACACTCGCCTTAAGTTGTCAAAGTCTCAGTTAAGTTGTTATCACCAGTTTTAAAAGACCAACCTTTAGCTGTTCATCATGTAACTTCATCAGTTACCTTGTTAGCTCAGAGACTCCCTAGTCAGCTCCAGAATTGGGACACAAGAAACACGTGTGCCAGTCCCCCTTCTTCCTCCTGGTGTTGGGATTCTTCTGGCAGGTTTCCCCTCCCAGAAAATAGTTTAAGCCCTTCCTACCCCAGGGCCAAGTACAGAATGAATTTTATTCCTGGAAAGGCCACATTAACCAAGAGCATTATTATTATTATTATTATTATTATGTTGGAGAGGTTTTTGCTATTGAGCATATGCACTCACCAGAAAGACAGAGAGAGACAGAGAGACAGAAAGCAAGAAATCACAGCCCAGGGGGGATGGCCACACCACAATCCCTTCTCCTCCATTCTCCTCTCAGTATCTTGGGCATATACGCACACTCACCCAGCGTGAGTTTAAGCCACCGGGTCTGGGACTCAAACCACGGTCGACTACATGGGAGTCCTGTGATATAGCCAACTGCTGGTCCCATCCAAGAGCTTTATTATTAAATGAGGATATCCAAGAAAGTATCATGGTTACTTTTGCAGAGAAGAGGATGTACAAAGTAATTATCAACAGCTCTAAAATAAACTACTCATAAAAGAACCAGAGACAGAGATGTTGTTAATTAGTCCCATATGCTAATATGATTGAAGAAAACAAATTGCTCACCTCACCCTCAAGCATCTCCAAGTGAGTGTCAGAGGCTGAAAAGACCTTGACTTTGACCCAGACTATAACTGCTTTTTTCTTTCTCCATGGTCAGAGGTAGCTGTACTCAGCAGAGAAACAGAGGGACAGAGAGGGAAGAGGAAGCAGAGAAACCACCCCCAATGGGCATGGTCATAGCATAATCCCTTCTCCTCTCTTTTGGGATTTGGGGCATATGTGCACACCCACCCGGCCATGTTTTCTAGCAGGAAGCCAGGATTCTAACCCAGTTGGCCATGTGGGATGCAGCTTTCTTTAACCACCAGGCTATGGGGCCAGTCCCTGGAAATGCTTTTATCTTCAGATATCATGGGCTTCTCTCTGTACCTGCTTTTTCTACATCTACATAAAAATATATTTTCCTCCCCACTGCACAGAACATAGGATAACAAAGAAGTTCGAGTTGGAGTCAGAGGAAGAAAAGAAGAGAATAAACGAATCCTACAATGCTGTCTTTGAGAACTTCATCCGAGAAAAGGAGGTAGGGAACTCAGCCCAAAGCACATCAGTGGTGCAGGTGTGGTCTAGGCACTATGACCAGGTTCCCAGGAGGGCCTGAGCATTAGGCGATCTTTGTGCACATATTCTTCCTCTCCTGGCTTTCCTAGAAATACATGCAAGTAAACTGACAGTGTTGCTGCTCTTTTTAATTATTTATTTTTTTATAATTATTTATTTAATTTTATTTACTATTTATATATATGTGAGTGTGTGTGTGTGTGTGTGTGTGTGTGTATTTCATCAGAGAGAAAGGGAAAGTGAGGAAGCACTCGAACCAGGTCCAGGATTCGAACTGTGGTCAGCCATGTGGGAATCAGCACCTCAACCACCATGCCATATGCCAGCCCACTAGAGGGTCTTATCATAGGATGATTGGATTAATTTTTTTGAAGATTTCTATTTATCATCTTTTTTTTTTTAATTTGCTACAGGGCACACATGATCACCAGAGAGACAGAGAGAAAGAGAGAGAGAGAGACAGAGAGAGAAATGAGAAAGCAAGCCCCCAGGTCTGGGCTCAAACTACAGTCAGCTATGTGAGAGTCCAATGCCTCAATCTCCATGCTACCTCCTGGACCACGGATTAAATTTTAATTAACAAGAAATAATAGAATTCTGGGGCCAGCAGGTGGCATGGTGGTTAAAGTGCTGGACTCCCACATGGTTGACTATGGCTCAAGGCCCAGACCCAGTGGCTTGAAAATCATGTTGGGTGTATGTGTATGCATACCCAAAATCCCTAGAGAAGAAGGGATTGAGGTGTGGCCATCCCCTCTGAGGGGTGATTTCTCACTTTCACCCTTTCTCTGTCTCTCTGGTGAGTGCACAGGCCCTATGGCAAAACAAACAAACAAACAAACAAAAAACCCCTAAAAAAAAACAAAAGCAAAACAAGAAGAAAAACACACATAAATAATAGAATGCTAAACATACGCAGAACCTGAGATTCTGTTTTGCCTGAGTCCTGTCTCTGAATATCACTCTCATCTTTGATTGTAACTGAGGAGAAAGAGCACCACTGCAAACGAACTGAGCAAATTTGGTCATGCACAACTCTTAGTAAATAAGAGTGGCTACCTGAAAGTTAGAGGGAGGGAAAGGTTTACCATTCCTGCTAGCCACTCCCCTTACTGCTGAGACCAGGTTACAATGAAAACAGGTCTCAGAACTAATTTTACCAAACACGTGGACATTTATTAAGCAAATATGCACTAGCAGAAAGGTTTATACCCAAACAGTTCATACCACCAGATCGCTGAGCTTTTAGGCTCATAAAAGATTTCCTGGAGGGCAAGGAGATATGATGGCATTACCGAGGCAGAACTCAGTAACCATCGTGGTCAGCATCACACAACCAGAACTCCTCTGAAGGGGGACACAGGATCTTTGCAGGGTCAAGTCTTGGGCATCATACCTAAGCATATAGGCTACAGGCTTTGTGGAGTCTTATGTCCTTCCCGTGCAAAATATAGTGTCTCCATAATATTTTAGATGTTTTAAATTTTTCGAAAATAGACATTTATTAAGTGTCCATTTCTAACCATGATACTAATTCAAAAGCCACTAATTTTACCAATAAAATCCCATTTCTGGTATTCATTGTCACTACTGAGCATATTCGGTAATGAAGAGGAGGGACATGCTCTGCAGTGTGTAGAGTGCTTCTGGGATCCGGAGGGCTCAGGTGTGTGAACCAGAAGTGGCATTTCTGGGGACTGGATGGCAGTGCAGTGGGAAAACACAGCACTCTGCCAGGCTAATACCCACAGGAAGGCCCTGGCTCGTGTCTGGAGACTTCCCTGAGTACAAAGGGCACACATGTACCCATGTTTTGGGGTTGACCTTTTACAAATAAAGCTTCTCTAAACACTCTCATACAAATATTTTTGCAGATATATGTTCTTTTTCTCTTGGTTATTATATACCCAAGAGTGCTATTACTGGGCTCTGGGGCAATTCTAGGTTTAACTCTATAAGAAATTGCCAAACTGTTTTCCAAAGTAGTTGTACTATTTTATTCTTACATCTTAAATATATGACAATTCTAGTTGCTCCAACTCTTCCACAATAATTAATATGGCCAGTCTTTTAATTTTGGTCATTCTAGTGGGTATAAAGAGGTATTTCATTATGGTTTTAGTTCCCAGGTGACTATGTTGGGAAATATTTTCACGTTTATTGGGCCATTTACATATTTTTCATGAAATATCTGTTTAAGTATTTTGCCATTTAAAAATTTTGGCTTGGTGGGAAGAAGGCCCCGGGGGCTCACGCCCCCGCGCGCAGCATCCCACGTGGTCAACCATGATTCAAGTCCTGGATCTGATAGCTTGCCTTCTCATTTTCTCTCTGTCTCTCTCTGTTTCTCTCTGGTAAGCACACATGCCCTGTAGAAAAATTTAAAAATAATAATAACAAATAAAATTAATCATTTAAAAAGTTTTTTGGCTTGCTTATATTTTTATTATTGACATATAAGAGGACTTTATATATTCTGGATACAAGTTCTTTGTTACGTCAACATATAAATATTGTCTCCTAGCCTGTGTTTTTCCTTTTCATTTTGTTAAGGGTGTCTTTCTTTTTTATTTAATTTAATTTTAATTTATTTTATACATTCAATCACATATGTCACTCAGCTTGTATAGTGAATCTATTCATGTTGGAACATGAATACATTTCTCACCAGTCCAATTGGGGATACAATACACGTTATCATCAACAAATAATAATCCATTTATTTATCCCATAAATGTCTTTCCTCTCTATTTTTCTCCTTAGTATCTTTCCTCGGGCTCTCCAATGTGTTGAAGTTTTTCATTTTGATAAAAGACAAATTATCTATTTTTTCTTCTTATGGTTACAGCTTTTTATATCCTATGAAATTTTTGTCCATTCCAAAGTCATGAAAATATTCTATTTTTAGAAGCTTTATAATTTTACCTTTTGTGGTACTATGATCCATTTTGAATAATTTTTGCGTCTGGAGTAATTAGAGGTCCTGGGTCATTTACTTTTTCATATGTCCAATTTTTTCAGGAAAGAAAAGTTCCTTTCCTCATTGAGTCACCTTGGTGTCTTCACTGTACTTGGGGATCAAGTCCACATTCTATTCCCTTTTACTGTTTGTACTTAGGACAATACAGTGTCTTAATTACCATAGCCTGAAATCAGGTATTAAAAAGCTCATCTAACTTTGCTCTTGTTTTTAAAGATTATTGTAGCTTTTTTATGTTCTTTGCATTACCATATAAATTTTAGAATTAGCTTGTCAATTTAGCATCAGCTTGGTTCAAAAATCTGCTGGCATTTTGGCTGGGATTGCATTGAGTATGAAGATCAGTTGTGAAGAATTGAATTAACAGTATTGACTCTGTACATTGATATAAGACAAGCTTGAAAATACAATTTCTTTTAATATTTGTCAATGTGGTTAGGTTGCACATAAGGAAGATTTTCTTTCTTTAACTTCAATATGTCATGTCATTAATTTGTAACGTGTCTAAAGCGTCGGTGACTATTATAATCCTGAAATCTTTTCTGGCTTTCTTAACTCTCTGAAAGAAAGTTCAGAACAGCAGAACTAAATTTTTCCAAATAAAATTGTTTTTAGGAGCTCATGAAACAACATGAAAGTGACACCTTGCAGTTAGAGGAGCTGAGAAAGACCAAAAAGGTAATCTTGTTCATTTTTTCCTGTGAAATTGGCATCTTACAAATACATCAGCAAACTAATACACTTTTAGGACCAGCTGGTGGTGTGGTGGTTAGAGGCAGCTGGATCCCACATGGCTGATTGTGAGGTTCACAGACCCAGTGGTTTGAAAAACATACCATGTGCATATGTGCCCCAAATCTTAAATGGCAGAGAAGAGAGTGTGCAGTGTCTGTGTCTCTTCAGTGAGAAGCACTCACTTCTGGCAAATTCAAGTAAGAAACCTCAGTAGACCTACTGTGAGAAGCTGAGGAGGGGAGGTATTTAGAAGATGGCATTGCTGACCACATTCCCTAAACTTTAAAAAAAACTAAAAATATATACTTTCATTATATAATTACAAAAATTTTAAAATGGAAGACCTAAAACTAGTTTTCTGGATTCAATAAGTCAAAAGAATTTCAGAACTGTCTGTAAAACAAAGCCAATAATGTCTTTTTTCTTTTTTTTTTCTTTTTTTTTTTTTTTTTTTTTTTTGAGAGGGGGATTTTTTCTATGGGAAAATTATGCTCGCCAGAAAGACAGAGAGAGATATAAAGACAGAAAGAGAGAAATCATCCCAAGGGGAATGGCCAAGCTACAATTCCTTCTCCATTCTCTTCTCAGGATTTTGAGCATGCACGCACACACACACACACACACACACACACACACAAGTGCGTATCTGGCATGAGTTTCAAGCCTCCAGATCCAGGACTTGAACCGCAGTTGACTACATGGAAGTCCAGTGATGTAACCATTATGCCATTTGCTGGTCCCAGTAATGTCTTTTTTAGAGTCAGATTTGAACTAGTATATCAACCATATACTTTGATTTTCCATGTTGAATGCCTTCCATTTCTTACAAGGCTCAAATCACAAAAGGACCTTGAATTATAAAATGCCAAGTTCTTCCCTTTGAGCTCTGAAAAGTACAAAACTGAGCCCTTTGGAACTCTGTCTCCAAACCTCTCCTTAAAACTGCATGTGACCTGGCCTGGTGGCACAGTCAGCAGCAAACTAGACTGCAGTGCATGGCTAACCACCAGTTCAGATCACGGAGTCAGCCCGAAAACACGCTGGGTGAGCTTGGACATGTGTACCCACATCCTAAGGAGTTAGAGGACTGGGGGAAGGGGATCGTGGCATGAGGAGACTCTATCGAGAGTTTTCTTCTCTCTCTTTCTGTTTGTGTGGTCTCTTGTGCACATGCATGTATTATCATGAATAAAATAAATAAACAACAACCCTGAGTGTACCTCACACATGACAGCCCTTCAGGGAACTGTATTCTCTGGGACAAATTAGAGCACGTTGTGGGAGACACTGAGGAAAAGATACTCAAGTCTACCAAGTACCTTGGGCTCTTCCTTCCGTGAGAATTTGATTTGGATTCAGAATGGATATGTTTGGGAAGAGTTTAGTCTTTATAAAGGACTGATAATGGTCTGTGCGTTTGATCACACTCCACGGGGAAGCAGGAAAATCGAGTAGCCTATAGGAACGCAATAGCAATGGGCAGATCAAGAGGTCCAATCCAGTCTTCAGGGCCAGCGATCTAGGATCATCTGAACTGACCAAGGCCTACCTGGGAATAAACGAAAGAGCAACCAGAAAACAAAAAGAAAAGCTCCAAGACTTTGGCTGAATTTGAAAGAAAAAAATGAATGAAAAAAGAAAGAACTAGAAAAACACAGACAGAAATGATGAAGTGGGTGGGAGCTCTTTAAATAAAAGACAGAAAAAGAAAAAAGATAAGAAGAAATCTGGTAGGTATTCATGCTCTTCACCAAGCTCTGATTCTTCCAGTTCTTCAAATTCTGAAGATGAAGACAAGAAACAAAGAGAAAGGAAAAAGAAAAAGAAGACCTGGTCACATAAATCTTCTGAGAGCTCTATATCAGAAACTGAATCAGATAGTAAAAATAGGTTAAAAAAGAGAAAGAAATCAAAGGATACAACTGAAAAAAGTAAGGACATTATAGGACTCAGAAAAAAAACAAAAGAAAGAAAGAAAAATGTATCCTGAACACATCTGAGGAAGTATGAGCAAAAAAGAAGAAAAGCAGTGAAGAATGAAAAAAAAAAGAAAAAAAAGAAGCATAAGAAACAGCTTAAAAATGAAAAATAGGCTGCTAGTTCAAGCACTTGCTGTATCATTAAGAAAAACCAGGATGCCCTTATAAAGAAAGTGCAATGTCTAAAAAAATTTCAACTGTGAAAATGATGACATATTTACTAAAAATGTATGAATTGTCTTGTTCTTAGAATTATTCCTGGGCTTTTCAGTAGCCATTCAGATACTGCTGTGGCAAAGAGCCAAGATTGTTGCCTACTGTTTGAACTTCTGCTTTCCCACCCCCCTTCCAGTGCTTGACAACTGGGAGATAATACACTAGTCAAGTGACTGGTTAAGATATTTGGGAATAAAGTAGGACCAGCAGTTGGCATAATGGCTATGTCGCTGGACTCCCATGTAGTCAACCGCAGTTCAAGTCCCGGACCCAGTGGCTTAAACTCATGCCGGGCACATGTGCATGCGTGCCCAAGATCCTGAGAGGAGAATGGAGGAGAAGGGATTGTGGCTTGGCCATACCCCTGGGGGGTGATTTCTCACTTTCTGTCTCTCTGTCTCTCTCTGTCTTTCTGGTGAGTACATGCGCCCTATAGCAAAAACCTCTCAAAAAAAAAAAAAGATATTTGGGAATAAAGTTAATATTTTTGGCTAGAAGTATCTAATGATAAGTCACCAGAAACAATTCTGGATACATCATTGAGATGTAGTAAGTATGGCCTGATGGCTCTAGTTAAATTTTTTTTTTTTTTTTGGGGGGAGAGATTTTCACTGTAGGGCGCGTGCGCTCACCAGACAGACAGACAGAGACAGAGAGACAGAAAGCGAGAAATCACCCCCCAGGGGGGATGGTCACGCCGCAATCCCTTCTCCTCCATTCTCCTCTCGGGATCTTGGGCACGCACGCACACGCGCCCGGCGTGAGTTTTAAGCCACCAGGTCCAGGACACGAACCGCGGTCGACTACGTGGGAGTCCAGCGACATAGCCATTACGCTAACTGCTGATTCCCTCTCTAGTTAAAATTTTTGAAGTAGGGATTACATTGAGATTTAAAATCCTTACTCTGCAGATAAGTGTATTTTCATTTTTCCCCCTTGTACACTTCTATTTACCTGGAAAAGGAAGTTTTTGAGTGAATGGGGACATAGCCATTATGCTAACTGCTGGTTCCCAGTAAATATGTAGTTTTAAAAGTTTTGTATCTTTCTATATTAATAACAACTTAATGACAAGTTAAATTTAAATGAGGGTTACATTATTGCTCTTCCTGTGTCATATTTTACCAAGATTTTGTGCCTCATATCTCCTGCTGCATTGTTTACAAGGAATGTTAAAAAGAACTGATAAATCATTTTCATTTTACATTTTTATATAATCACATAACACGAAATATAATTTGATGTACAATTTTACCTCTTACAAGAGAATGTGCTAGTTACAGTTGAATATGCACAGAATATTTTGACATGACAAGAGGCTGAGTAAATAGTTATTTTTTTCTTTTTCCTTTTTTTTTTTGGAGAGGTTTTTGCTATAGGGTGCGTGCGCTCGCCAGACAGAGAGAGACAGAGAGACAGAAAGCGAGAAATCACCCTCCAGGGGGGATGGCCACGCCACAATCCCTTCTCCTTCATTCTCCTCTTGGCATCTTGGGCATATGCACACAAGTGCCCAGCGTGAGTTTAAGCCACCAGGTCCGGGACTTGAACCGCGGTCGACTACATGGGAGTCCAGCAACATAGCCATTACACTAATTGCTGGTCCCCCCCTCCTTTTTTTAGAGAGACTTTTTTTTGCTATAGGGTGCACATGCTTGCCGGAGAGAGAGAAACAGACAGGCAGAAAGCAAGAAATCACTCCCCAGAAGAGATGGCCATGCCACAATCCCTTCTACTCCATTCTCCTCTGTGGATTTCGGGCACACATGCACACATGCCTAGCATAAGTTTCAAGCACCAGGTCCAGGACTTGAACTACAGTCAGCCATGTGGGGGAGTCTAGCGATGTAACCATTACATCATCTGCTGGTCCCATAAATAGCTATTTTAGTTAAAGTAAATAAAAAAATAAAAGACTGATATCTTAGCACCGAGGGGGGGGGGGCTTCGGTATCCCTGAGGGGTACACGGGGAAGCCAAGTAGACCCAGGAATTATAAGCACTGTTTAAATAAGAGCATCACTTGGGAAAATAACTCTGGCAGCAAAGTGAAGAATCTAAAGAGGCAAAATGATGGAAGGTAGGACCCATCAGAGGGGTCACTTCCCAGCAGTACCTCAGCCTGGCTTCTTTTCCCACTCCATCTACTGAAACTGGTCATTAACTCATCAGTCACTTCCAAGTTGCCAGATCCAAGGAATGCCTCACCTCACCTGACATTAGCAGTATCAGATGCAATCAATGATGCCTATATTGGTCCACTATTGTGTTGCTTTCAGAAATACCCGAGACATGATTAAGAAAGATTAGAGGTTTGTTAGGCTCATGATTTCAGTGACTAGCAAGTCCAACAGCATCACAAAATAGCAGAGGGCAAAGTCTGAGCAGAGCAGAGCATGGCCAGTATCCATGTGGGCCTCCCTCTGCCTCATTTCTTCTCCGTATACACCCACTAGGACTCAGTCATGGGGACCTCACCCTGACCACCTCATCACTAATCTCCTCCCAAAGGCCTCTCCCTCTAACAATGATTGGATCAAATGTTTACCTTCTTGAACTTGTTACAATGGCTCGACATGCTAATTTCAGGGGACATGTTCAAACTATAGCATCTCCTTGAAACATTCATCTCTTGGCTTTCATAGGCTTCTGGTGTTTCCTTTACCTCATGGGTCCCTCCTTCTCAATCTCCTTTGCTACATCTTCCTACGCACCTAATTCTAAGTCCTGGAATGTTTCAAGGCTTCACCTAATTCTAAGTCCTGGAATGTTTCAGGGCTTGATCGTAGGACCCACTTCTCCATGGCTCCTTTCTCTTTCGGTGAATTGATCTAATAACTGTAAATACCTCCTCCATGCTGGCATCTGAGATTCACACCTCCAGCTGAGCCTCCCCACTGAGCTCTAGACTTGCATATGCAACTGCTCATTTGACATTTCCACATAGGTGACCTACAGTTACCTCAAACTTAACATGTCTAACTCAACACTCTTGATTTTCTAACCGAAATTCAAGCCCCCAATTGCCAGATTCTCCAGTTGTTTAAGCCAAGACCTAAAGTCATCATCAATTTCTTTTTCCTTGCACTCTGGTCACACTTTTTTCCTTTCACTTTTCACTCTTTCTTTGAACTCTTTATACCTTACAATAGGGTTTACTCTTTGTGTTGTACCTTCTATGGGTTTTGCCCGATCTATCATGCCATGTATCCACTATTACAGCATCATACAGAATAGTTTCACTGACCTACAAATGCCCTCTGCCTCACCTACTCATCTCTCCCACCTCCTGGCAACCATTAACCTTTTTATTTTCTATTTATTTTTGCCTTTATATATATATATATATATATATACACACACACACACACACACACACACATACATATAATTGAGATCAGTGGTATGTGTTTAATGTAGTACATTGGGTTGTTGGAAAAGTCATGACACATTTTTTCCATTTTTCTGTTCAAAAATATGTCATGACTTTTCCGACAGTTCAATATTTACTAAAGACTTATTTAGTGAGGAGATGGTTGATAGCCATTGAGAAACCCATGAGAGCCCTGGTGAGAGCTGGTTCTACAGCATAAAAATGAGTGAAGTTGAAGAGACAGAATAGATGGGCGAGACAGAATTAATGGGGTGCAGTGACTGGCTGTGAGAGACACACAAGTATCAGCAAAGTTACCGCTTTGGACTCTAGTCCAGGTGCCCTGGGGAAGAGACTGAAGTAGTAGACAGAGGCTGGATGTCCTGAAACAATCTCTTATGCAGGTCATAGAGGAGGAGGTACGTGCACAAGCTCTTATGCTAGAATCACTTAACACAAACCTCTACCAAACCCAGATGGAACTCCAGAGAGAGGTGAGTCGCAGCTGCAGTGGGGTTGGGGTTGGGATCGGGGTTGAGGAGGAACCTAGGTCTCTGTGCAGCTCTGCCACATGGCTCTGTCTGGATAGCTCTGAGTTGGGGGAGTTAGCTATTAAAATACGTGTGTCTTTCAGAAAGCCGTCGTAGGGAACATGGAGAAAACGCTCCAGACCAAGCTTGCTGAAGCTGAAGACAAATATAAGTACACCATACAGATCCTGACAGAAGAAAACATTCATCTGAGGTGTGGATGCTACCGCCTAAAAACACATGGCTAAGTTGGGACCAACACGTGGCGTAGTGGTTAAGGCGCTGGACTCCCATATGGCCGACCATCATTTGAGTCCCAGGCCTGGTGGCTTGAAACTCATGCCAGGCACTGTGTGTGCTCAAATTTCCAAGAGGAGAATGGAGGGGAAGGGATTGAGGTGTGGCCATCCCCTCTGGGGGTTTGATTTCTCACTTTCTGTCTCTCTCTGTGTCTCTGGCAAGTGCACATATCTTATAGCAAAAATCTCTCTCTTAAAAAAAAAAAAAGATATGACTAAGTTATCTTAGGAGTAGGAGGGAGTTTGAGTGAGGAATAGGTTAAAAAGATGAACCAAGTACACCCTAATAATGTCAAGGAATGGGCACTTTTGCCAGGGAGGTCTGTCATTCTGAGCCTGGACAGAGTTACCTGTAAAGTCACGCAGTTGATTGGAAGTGGAGCTGGTATGTGTCTAGACTTCTCTCCCTTACCTGTGTCTGTTTTTATGCAAAATGCACAGGAAATGCATCAGCAAGTTCCTGAGTTTATTTAGCTCTGTGATTGTGTTCTTAAATCTATCTCCCCTGTGAGTTTGGTGGCTTAACGGTTAGTGGCTTTCCCTTAGATACAGTTGCTTCTTGCTTCTATGGACGACAGCTTCAGATCAGAAATTGTACTGTTACCTGAAGATTCATCTTAAATTGATAAAAATTTTCCATCAACACTTTAATAAAGGAAAGTTATTCATCATGTTGATTTAATATACATTTCTTATGTGGGAATTTGGTCACCCAAGAGCAATATCTCACTGAATCCAAAACCACTAGAAGTCGTGACCAAGTCTCCCTCTGATGAAGAAATGAAGTCGAAGGGACCAGCAGTTAGCATAATGGCTATGTCACTGGACTCCCACATAGTCGACCACGGTTCGAGTCCCAGACCTGATGGCTTAAGCTCACACCAGGCACATGTGCGTGCATGCCCAAGATCCCTAGAGGAGAATGGAAGAGAAGGGATTGCGGCGTGGCCATCCCCCCTGGGGGGGGGGGTGATTTCTCGCTTTCTGTCTCTCTGTTTCTCTCTGTCTGGTGAGCGCACGTGCCCTATGGCAAAAACCTCTCAAAAAAAAAAAAAAAAAGAAAGAAAAGAAAGAAAGAAAGAAAGAAATTAAGTCACATTTCTCTGCCTGCCAAATATCCTACACCCCTTCCTATCCTTTGAGTCCATCGTGATAGAGCTTCTCTTTCTGCTTACAGGCAAAAGATAATTGCCAAGAATGAAGAAATTTATGAAGAACGGTCTGGGAAATTAACCTGTACCACTGTCTATAAAAATGATCCTGACATTTTAGAAGATGGTAGCAACAAAGGACAAGAACCATAAACAAGAAGGTGTTCTCTATTGCTGCAGATGGTAGGAACGCCATCTCTGAAGGCCAAGGGAACGCCTCTGAAGTTTTCTTGAGAAATCCACATGAGTTTCGTTCTTCAGTTGCTCTGACTCTATTTTTGTCATTTCATAATTGCTTTACTGAGTGATTGGGAATGTTTTAATGTTCACCCAATTGCCTGGATGAAATTTTCATGACCCTTCATTGAAAAGTGCTGTTCTCTGTACTTGGAGCTAAGCTTTTCTCTGGGCTTTTTACTCATTTCCCCCCATCTTTCCATATTTCATAAGAAATTGATTAGAAGGTCTTCTTCCTACTAAACATTGTATTTTGGGTATACCTTTTGTCCCCTGAGTATTTATAAATGCTAGCAAGAAAGAAAATCTACAGATTTGATTCTAAAATCTTTTTTTCTCAATCTGACTCCATAACCTGGTGGTTAGGAAAGCCAGATCCCACATGGTTGACCACACTTTGAATCCCGGCCCCAGTGGCTTAGAAGACACACCAAGCACATGTGCATGTGGGCCCCAAATCCCAACAGGACAGAGAGCTGGAGGAGAAGGCACTGTGATGTGACCAAGCCCTGCTGGAGGCTGCTTCCTTTCTCTCTCTCTTTGGCAAGCACATACACCCTCTGGCAACTAAAAACAAAAACTTTTTCTCACACCTGTTCCCACTTGCCCATCTTGCAATCATGTTCCCTCACCTATGACTTAGGAATAGTTTCTAATGATTCTTGTCACCTTCTCTAAACCATCAGCAGAATTCAAATGCAGGCAACGTAAGTGAGGTGGGCTGGACATAGGGAAAACTACAATCTCTCAAGCACTGTAATTGACAGTAGCCTTGAAGGAGGTGACTGAGCAGGGGTGAGGGAAAGGGTAGGGATTGGCAACAGCTAAACATGGACTGTTAGAGGAAGGCACTTCTCTGAAGCATTGCACTATGGCCATGCAGGAGCAGAGCAGCAATGCTGTCACATAGTCCGATTTTCCACAGAGTGTTCTGGTTTTTAGTGTTATCTCGCAATTTTTAAATGTTGACAGCACATTTTTTTTTCTTTAGAGAGATTTTTGCTATAGGATGCCTGCATTCACCAGAGACACAGAGAGAAACAGAGCACAGAGAGAAAATGAGAAGTCACCCCCCAGGAAGATGGTCACTGTGCAATCCCTTCTCCTCTATTCTCCTCCTAGGATTTTGGGCCTTCTTACTACTAAACACTGTGGGAATGCATATGCACTTGGTGTGAGTTTCAAGCACCAGATCAAGAATTCGAACCATGGTCAAACATGTGAGAGATCAGCACCTTAACCAGTATTCTACCTGTTGGCCCCAATACCACATTTCATTTATTTATTATTTTTTTTAAGGGTGAGGGTTGTTTTTTGGGGGGGGGGTTACTTTTTTTGCCTTAGGGTGTGTGTGCTCACCAGAGGAGAAAGAGAGACAGAGACAATGAGAGGGAAAGTGAGAAATCACCTCTCAGGGCAGATGGCCAGGCTGCAATCCCTTCTCCTCCATTCTCCTCCCAGGATCTTGGGCACTCATGAACATGCACCCTGCATGATTTTGAAGCCACTGGCTCTGGGACTTGAACTATGGTCAGCCATGTGGGAGTCTGGAGACCTAACCACTACACCATCTGCTGGTTCCTTAACAGCATTTTTTTTTAATTTTTTTGCAAAACATCACACAATTTTTTATGATTAAATGAGAAAATCTCATTTGTTACATCGTCACATTGCTAGTCAGAGAAATGCTGCAGTGATGAAGAAAGTCAATGTTGGATCAACCAAAGTCCTCATTTCTACAACATTCATTTACAAAGAAATAATGTTCAACACAGCCCAACACAACATTCTTGGTTTTCTTCATATTGAAGTCCCCCCAAAAAATCTTCTTCTAATGGGGTATTTCACTACATAAATTATAGTTCTTCATTTTTACAATTCACCCCAAACTGTATGAGAGATGTATCACACTAAAATTTCTAAAGCTGTTAGGAAATCCTTCACACATCGTCGTCATCTGATGTGTCACTGCTACTTGTCTCTGTGTCATCATTTTCAATTGTGGGTTTGAAAGTGCTGTTTTTCCAAGGTCCAAACTTGAAGTCATAGATCAGGCCATTTTTCAAAATACTGTTTTTTCTTAGACCATTCTTCTGTAACTGTTCACTAATAACTTGGAATTCTCTCATTGCATCCTCAGTTAAGGGAGCACATGTTTCATCATTTTCACTGTCTTCCTGCCAGCCCATCTCCTTAATCTGTGTTCTGCCTCAAGTGAACTTGAAAGAACTTCAGTTTGTGGGAAAGTTGAAGACCAAATGATCTGCTGGGTAATCACTGAGACATTGCTATTCTCTTGAGAAATTTCACTTTCATCAAAGTTTCTATTTATGGGAACCAGCAGTTAGCGTAATGGCTATGTCGCTGGATTCCCACGTAGTCAACCAGGGTTCGCATCCTGGACCCGGTGGCTTAAAACTCACGCTGGATGCATGTGCGTGCATGCCCAAGATCCCAAGAGGAGAATGGAGGAGAAGGGATTGCGGCGTGACCATCCCCCCTGGGGGGTGA